AAGCACTCCAATAGTGACAGAAACTCAGCGGCAAAGGTGCAGGTTCTGGAGTCCACGTGGATGTTAAAATCACCTAGCAGTAGTGTGGATGGGGACATGGAGCAGATTGAGGTGAGAAGCTCAGACAACTCAGACATGAATGACGTGGAAGGTTTGGGGGGGCGGTAAATGAGGACGACCTGCTGCTTTGAGGGCGCAGCCACTGAGAAGGCAATGCACTCAAATGAGATTGTATTCGTCACAAGCAGCTGTTTGACAGGTATATCTGCTCTGTGGATGACTGCCAGCCCACCACCACGACCAATGGAGCGGGGCTGTTGGAGATAAGCATAACCTGGGGGGGTGGCTAGGTTGAGTGTGAGGAAGTCCTGTTGGTTTTGCCATGTCTCAGTGAGGCAGAGAAAATCCAATTTCCTATCAATGATGATTTCATTAATAAGTGATGCTTTGTTGTTAAGGGAGCGGGTATTTAACAACATGAATGTGTGGGAGTTGTTATATGTTGCAATGGCTGGTAAAACAGTGATGCCATCAACACAGGCCAAGGGCTTCAGGTTAACACTGCACACGTGTGGTTTGTTGTGATGACGTAGGTGGGCGGTGACGGGGCGCCGGGACCACACAGTTGGGATAGTGTCAGCTGAGCCGGTGTAAACAAACCCACGTTTGGAACCTCTGTGGACATACCTGGGTCTGCCAACTCGTAACAGCCCGAGGTATTCAATGACTGACAGACATAGAGGGGGTGTAGTGAAGTGGTTGATCCTAAAAAGTTGCGAGGCGGAGTAACGAAGCATCACGATGGTATGATGCTAACGTTAGCACAGCGTTAGCTGTGGTCGCGGATCGGCCGGGAGAATGCGCTATCAGCCAAGAGTACAGATGAACCAGGACAGCAGGCAGCCTGTCCAGGAAGCGACTCAAGTACGGACAGCACTGAGGAGAGATGGTGGAAGTTGAAGACGTTTGCCGCAGAGGAGCACCGGTGGTGGCCAGAGCAGGCTAGCCTGAGCAGGTAGAACTAGGCTAGCTTCTGATCGCCGTCAGACTGGCTGGGTGGAGAGGACCGTTGTTGTGTATTTTGTGGCAGAACAAAATCAAACAGCAGCTAAGCAGGTGATACAGTGAAGCAGGATCGGGATTCAAAACGGGAAAATGAGACGGAGAATCGGGCTTGTCGTCAGATGGAGCCACTAACGTTAGCGATAGCGTTAGCCCTGAAGCAGGAGCAACATTAGCAGGTGTATCAGGGTGGACAGGTCGGAAGCGGAGCAACCGTAAAAAGTTGCGATCGGGTGTTACAAAAGTGTCCAGAACAGCGTGTGCAAGCCACTGAACGTATGGAAACTGAGGTAGAAACGTTGGTCCAAAATTCGGCAGATACATTTTCGGACAGAGAAGCGGCGAACAGACAACGCCAGCGTCCTCTCTCTCCAAAAGTGTTGCGTCACAAAAAAAAACAAAAAAAAAACTAATGAATCTGAAAACTTTTCACGGACGCCGTGGCAGAATGCCACGGACCCCCGGGATGTCGCGGACCCCACTTTGAGAACCACTGCTCTACTGAAGGTCTTAAGGCCCTGACACACCAGGCCGATTTCGGCCGTTTTCGTTAGTCGGAAGACGAAGCGTGTCCTGTCGCCCAAACTCAATTTGGTGTGTCCCGCACCGTCGGCCGTGACACGCCTTATTTGGATGTCTTTAGCATCTGAATAGAGCCATCACAATGTGTCTACAATGTGCCTCTCCCTCTCGACCACACCCCAAACTAATGGCACACACATTTCAGGGTATTGTTTTGTTATGAATGCTTAAAACAGTTTTAAGAAGCCATGGTATTAAATCCAACTAACTATGAATTTATTTAAAAAAAATTAAGGAACGTCCGGTGGCCCCCCGTTTTCGATGGACGAGAGTGAAAATGGAACGCACACGCTATTTGTTGTTTGTTTATATCACGGTCTGTTCTTCTTCTCTGTCTTCCGGTTGTTGCCTCTTTTGAATGACGAATACACACTACCGCCGCCTGCTGGTAAGGAGAGTTATTGCCACTCACGCACTGAAGTCTTTGCGGTGTGTTCCCGTGCAACACATGGCCAAGACGCAGGAGAACACGGCGACGCAACAGCCGGCGTCGGCGAGTCCTCTGGTGACTGCTTGGTGTGTTAGGGCCTTTAGTGCATTAGCTGAAGGCCTTTTAAGCAGAAGCATCTGATCCTTCAGTCTCTTTCCTTTATCCTGCTTTACTCCAAGATCAGTGGAGCAATCTTTCCTCTTTTCTCTCCTCTGCAGGAGCTTTCGGTCATCAGCTGACATTTGTCTTTCCTCTTCATAGTCGTTTTCTGGAAAGTCGTTAATATATTGTCTTTCACTAGGCTTCTCAAGGTGAACAATTGAGGTCCTGTTCACTACTGCCACAGGGTTTTCATCATCCGGATCTGTGGAAGCATTAGATGGACCATTAACTACCCATCCTAACAGTGTTTTCACTGCATATGGGCCATTTCCTTGGGTATTTATAACTTTCCATTGTTCCATAGCCTGAAGTCCCACGTCAGCATCTAATTCTCTTATTTGGATTTCCTGCAGATAAGGCCATTTCTTGAGGTCCACCTGGGTAAGAATGTTTCTTTTGGTAACAGGGATTTTGTTCTGACAAGTTTATATATTTGCCATCTTCCACATTGCCCACTTCTAGACCTGTTACCTCAAAACTCCTGACTGTTTTCTCTGTTGCCATTGTTTGACGAAGGACTTCAGTTCTCCGTCCTCTAGCACCAAGCTGCCTCATGAGCCCCTCTGTGCAAAATGTGTCGGTACTACCAGGGTCCAGGAATGCATAGGTCAGTATACTTTTATTTCCATGGCAGAGTTTCACCTTCACTGGCACTATGGCAAGTATGCTGTCTTTACCAGCCCCAATTCCTTCACCTTCTCCTACTGAAACAAGAGCACTGCTGATGGATGTCTCATCAGGCCTTGCTCCCCCACTCTGCTGCTCTGCCTTACCATGTTTAAAGTTCTCAGTTTCAGGCTTTGAAGATCTTTTAATGTGCAGAATAGTTGGATGTTTAGCATGACAGATTTGACAAGTCATTCTCCTGTTACAGTTCCTGCTCAAGTGCCCCACCTTCAGGCAGCCAAAGCATAGTCCTTTCTCTTTCAGAAACTCCATTTTTAGCTTCATGAGATATTGAATGTATTGTATGGCATTCAGCTAAAGGATGCATGCTGGTACAAAAGGTACATGAGGTGTCATTGTTAGTGGAGGAAATGTAGCTTTTAAGAGGGGATTTGTCTTCTTTGGGTTTCTCTGCATGGCTGTCTGACACTATAGCCACTGTGGTAGCAAAACTGCTTCCCTTGCACTTATTTCGACTTAAATCAGCAGGAGTTGTAATGAAAGTCTTTGTACTGTTAAATTGATGATCGTGAATGTCACCAAAGAGAGGGTCTTGAAGTATTTTAGCTTGTCTTTCAATAAATACAACAAGGTCATGCAATCTTGCTCTTTGACGGCTCCGATCCAGAATGTAGCTGCTATTCTCCACTTCTCCCTTAGTTTGTAAGGTAGCTTTGAAAGAATGAGCCGTAGGTTGGATGGCAGGTCCAGCTCCTCCATGTCCTGCAGATCCCTCATTGCATTACAGCAGCCTCTCAGAAAAAGTGCATAACAGTGCAGTGACTTTCCATCCTCTGCCTTTATAGTGTTCCAGTTGAGAGCTTTTCCCATATATGCGTTTGCTATCTTGAGTACATCTCCAAAAAGCACATTTAGCCGTCTCTTAGCTTCAGCAAAGCCACTATTAGCATCCATATGAAGGCAGCTTCTCACCAGTTCTCTGCAGGATCCCGAAGTATATTGTTCCAGGTAATATAATCGATCCTGGTTACTGGTGGTTTTCTCCTCAATGCCATGTTGAAATGCCCTCATACATATTTGATAATTCAGGGGATTGCCATCAAAAACTGGGATTTCTCTGCTGGGCAGTGATGTTTGTTTTTGTTGAAGTACAAGTAAATTAACAATATCATTTTGTCTCTGCATCACAGTCAAGAAATTGTTATTATACATTATTATTTGTCCCTGTAATTCCTGCATCTCTAGCTGTGTGTTGAGAGCTTTTGTTTGTAGCCTTTATTTAACCAGGTGAAAGCCCCTTGAGATCAAAAGATCTCTTTTTCAAGGGTGACCTGCAGGACATTAGTTACACATGTAACATAACATGGTTTGTATTACCAATATTTTCTGGTAGTTTTGGTTGTTGGTATAGAAGCCTTTGAAGTGGTGTTTTGGGAATAGGTCCAAACTCAGCAAAGGTAATTGGAGAAGGCTCTGCATCCATTGACATATCTGATTTTACTCTGTAGCTTTTTAAATAGTCATTCATGCTATCATATTTCGCTTGTGTTGGATTTTGTGAACCAGTCTCAAAATGCTCCAGGACTTTCATGTTTGCATCAGATTCAGCTAGGCTCACTTCCATTTCCATTCGTTCAGATTATTGAAGTAACCTGTGTTCCCAGTATCCAGCTATGAGTTTGCTTAAACATATGTGTGGGCTTAATTACTTTGTATCAAATAGTAGCAGTCTGTATAACAAGAAGCTGGAAATATGAGAAGTGAAACATTTGTGTTAAGAGTAGTGGAGATGTGAGAGATGAGATATCCTTATTTGGACACGGCGTGGCAAACATCTGGAAGGCAGCAGAGTAAAATGTGTGTGCGTTCTGTCAAAGAGTCCTATATATATATGTTTTCTGTAAAGTTATACTATTTCTCGCATTGCTGTAGGACTGCTTAAGAGCAGAGGTAATGTTTTCTTTGTTAGTATTGAAATTAAAGTAACTTACTTGTATTAGCCAACTATAAACAATTATATCTTAGACATATCTTAAAAATGCCAAGGGTGTGTGGAGCTGTGTGTATTGAACTGATGGGTGAGGGGGCTGGAGAGAAGGAAGTCTATGCAAAATACCTCAAACTTAAGAGACTCTTATTTCAGGGTCGCCTCGGCTGGCTCGTGCTGATTCGTTGCGACAGGCCATCGTTTTTGTATCTCCCAATGGATGACTGCTATGGGAGGAGCATCGGACACAACTCCTCCCGTTGGAATTGCATGTATCCCTGTTGTGTCCTTGGTCCGGTTTCTTTTTCCTCCTGCTGCCAAGATAGTAAGATCAAACAGCACTCGGACCAGAGCAGGGGTACCCCTTTAAAGTGTATTGTTGTTTTTTGCCATTAAAACAGATTATTGTTTATTGTTTATCCTTTATCCTGGTGTTTCGAATTCCTTCTTTTATAATTTGACCAGCTCATCAAGGGACGCGCGGAGCCGAGGTGGGCTTCATACCACCGTCCTCATTGCTCCAACAGGATCTAGCTTGCAGTTGAGCCTTTTCAATTTCAAATGCATGCTTTTCCTTTAATCCTGCTGCCCGGGCAAGGAGGGCAGCTCTTTCTGTGGCTATTTTGAGGTGGGTTGAGGAAGCAGAATAAGTTGTTGATCCTGCTTTTGAGCTCCTCCTGGCTGATGCATTGGAAACACTGTCATGGGGTTCAATCAGTATCTGAGGATCCATTTGAGAGCTTTTCCACATCCTTAAGGAAATTCGTGAATGCAGACATGTTTGGTTCATACCAATCCATTCTCTCAGTTTCCCTTATTTCCTCAGATAAAAGCATTTGAAAAAGTCCATGACACTCCATGAATTCATTGAGTAACATCTTGAACATTGCAACAGCTTTATCCACCTTTTCCATATTTCCCCCTTGCACCAGTAATGCTTTAAATTCATTCATTCTGCGGGTGCATGCTCCAAGTTTTCCTATTCGAGAGTTTTAAATCTCTCCTCTGCCACGGCAACATTAGCTGGAGGATTATCAGGATCCATTGTTTCTTTTTCTTTAATTAATCTACATGAAATAAAGTCATTAATATTTCCAAGAACATAGTGTGACTCACAAAAATACCTGATAAGTGAGAGTTTAATCTAATTTATATTATTATTAAGCTTAACATTCAGACAATAATAACAAAAGGAAGATGGCTCTAACACTCTGGATCTGAGTTCCTGGCTGGTTCTGGTCCTCCACAGACCTTTCCATCAGCTTCTGTTTCCATGTGTTCAGCTGAGCTGCTGGCTGGAGGCTCTGCCTCTCTGTTCTCCTCAGTTTGAGTTTGATGAAGCTGTGAGGACTGACGACCAACACACTTATGGAATTTGATGTGATGACTCCGGTTGAATCTTTTGTCACAAACACTGCAGCTGTATGGTTTCTCTCCTGTGTGGATTCTCATGTGTTTCTTTAAATCTCCAATCCCTGCAAAAGATTTCTTACAAATTGAGCAGATGAATGGTTTCTCTCGTGTGTGGACTCTCGTGTGTTTCTTTAAATCTCCTCTCTCTACAAAAGATTTCTTACAAATTGAGCAGCTGAATGGTTTCTCTCCTGTGTGGATTCTCATGTGTTTCCTTAAATATCCTCTCTGTGCAAAAGATTTCTTACAAATTGAGCAGATGAATGGTTTATCTCCTGTGTGGATTCTCATGTGTTTGTTTAAATTTCCTCTCTGTGCAAAAGATATCTTACAAACTGAGCAGCCAAATGTTTTCTCTCCTGTGTGGTTTCTCATGTGCCGATTTAAAGTTCCTCTCTGTGTAAACGTTTTCTCACACAAAGAGCAGCCAAATGTATTCTCTCCTGCACTACGTCCTGAATCACTGACAGGGTCTTGTTTATTTTTCTGAGACTTTGAACCTGGTTCTCTGGTCTCCTTCCAATCAGCCCTGTCTTCAGTGTCAGGTTCAGAAGAGTTTTCAGTGTCAGGTTCAGAAGCGTCTCCAGGGTTGACCTCAGTCTCTGGTTGTAAATGTCTGTCTGGATCTGAGTTCCTGGCTGGTTCTGGTCCTCCACAGTCCTCTCCATCAGCTTCTGTTTCCAGGTGTTCAGTTTGTCTTTGATGAAGCTGAGAGGACTGAGGTTTCTCCTCATCATCTTCACTCTTCACAGGGACAGGAGTGAATGTGGACTTGGTGATATCAGCCTCCTCCAGCGCTTGAAGCTGCTCTCCCTCCGGACTGCTCCAGAGTTCCTCCTGTTCCTCTTTAATGTGTGGGGGGGGCTCTGGGTCCTCCTGGTCCAGACTGGAGCTCCACTCCTGCTGTTCAGGGGGAACCTCTTCTTCAACCACCACCAGCTGCTGGACGTCTGCAGGAAACAGGAAACACATATTCAGAGAAACTGTAGAGTATTAGAATTTAAAATATTACCATGAGTAACACTTGATTAACTTTGCAGCCCTTATCCATTCCTCATTTTAAATGCTTTTCCAGATGCCCTGGAGTTTCAGGACAACAGGTGAGTTAGTACTCTAGCTGATCAAAAAACGTAGTTTCACTGCCGCTTAGCAAGGCGTCGGCCGTTCACGGAGTGTGAGGCCTTAGCCTTACAGTTTGTGACCTGTCTGCAGAGTCGTTAGCTGAGAACTGGTGTTGGAGTTGCTTCTTAATAAATTGAATATCATGGAAAAGGGAGTTTATATCAGTAATTCAATTTATAAAGTTTAAACTCATACATCACATAGATTCATCAGATACAAAGGGATTATTTCCAGCGTTTTAATCTTGATGATTGCGGTTTACAGCTAATGAAAGCCAAAATTCAGCATCTCAGAAAATGTGAATATAACATAAGACCAATACAAAAACTGATTTTTTAATAATATAGAAATGCTGGCCTTCTGAAAAGTATGTTAATGTTCCTGCTGTCAGTACTTGGTTGGACCTCCTTTAGCATGAATAGCTGCATCAATAAGGCGTGGCATGGAGACTATCAGTCTGTGGCACTGCTGAGTTGTGATGGAAGCCCAGGTTGCTTCACTAGCGGCCTTCAACTCGTCTGCATTGTTGGGTCTCGTGTGCCTCATCTTCCTCTCGACAATACATAGAATCTCGACAATAATAATTCTCCAAAGTCTGACTTTTTCCCAACATTTTGACTTTTTCTAAAATGCTGCAAAGTCAGCAACATTCTGACTTTGCTTCTCAGAATCTTGACTTTTTTCTGGAAAACTCAGAATAATTACTTTTTTCTCCAAAGTCTGACTTTCTAAAATGCTGAATTTTTCAGAAAATCTAAAAATTCTGACCTCAGAATTTTGACTTATTTTTTAAACCACACAATTCTGAACTAGACATTTTCCGCAAATCCCATAATAACTTAATTGTCCAAATCCTGACTTTTTTTCTAAAATGCTGAATTTTTCAGACAACCACTTCTTACAACAAAGGTATGCACAAGACAATTTCTGCTGCGACATTCAGGCGGTAGGGTCAGAAGACAACATGAGAGCATGGATCCATCCTGCCTTGTATCAACGGTTCAGGCTGGAGGTGGTGTTGTAATGTTGGGGGGGATATTTTCTTGGCATACTTTGGGCCGCTTACAACCAATTGATCATCGTCTAAACGCCACAGCCTACCTGAATATTGTTCCTGACTATGTCCATCCCTTTATGACCACAGTGTACCCATCTTCTGATGCTACTTCCAGCAGAATAACACCCCATGTCACAAAGCTCTAATAATCTCCAATCGGTTTCTTGAACATGGCAATGAGTTCACTGTTCTCCAATGGCCACAGTCACCTGATCTAAATCCTATAGAGCCCATTTGGGATGTGGTGGAAAGAGAGATTGGAATCAGCCGACAGACCTGGCAAAATCTCTGAGGAAAGTTTCCAGCATCTTGTTGAATCTATGTCACAAAGAATTAAGGCAGTTCTGAAGGCAAAAAGGAGGTCCAACCGCTTCTAATCAAAAACTGTATAATTACTCCAGAAATATGAAAATGGTGTCAAATAGAGTGTCAGATGGCAGAGACAACAATAAAGAGTCTAAAGAGTTGGAGAGAGTGAATAAAAAGAGAGTTAGTAAAGAGGGAACAGACCTGCTCTGTGGATCTGAAGCTGAGGCTGTAAAACAGCGGTCCAGTTAGTTTCCGGTTGTCTCTACGTTCTCCTGTTTTGAACGAGACCAGTTCCTCCTCGTAACTCTGCTATCGTTCTTTCAACAGAACAAAGATGTCTTCAGCAGCCGCAGTGAGTCGCTTGCTTCACCAACGAGAGCAGGCACAACCACTCATGGTTTACTAATCAACACTTCCTGTTAAACACAACTGTTTCTCCGTGTGCTTCAGTCTCTGTTGAACACCCACTGGTTTCTCTCTGAAGGCTTCAGTCTTCTGTGAACACCCCACTGTTTCTCTCTGAAGCTTCCCAGTCTCTGTTGAAACACATGTTCTCCTCTGAAGGCTTCAGTCTCTGTTGAACACCACTGTTTCTCTCTCGAAGCTTCAGTCTCTGCTTGAACCACACTGTTTCTCATCTGAAGCTTCCCCGTCTCTGTTGAACACAACTGTTTCCTCTGAA